TTATTTGATGGAAAGGGAGAGAGAGAGAGAGAGAGAGAGAGAGAGAGAGAGAGAGAGAGAGACTCATCTGCTAGTTCCCTCCGCAAGTGCCTGCGATGCTTGGAGGAGCCAGGCGCTCAGCCCAGGCCTCCCAGCCGGCCACTCCTCCTGTGCTTCAGCAGGAGCCGGGGTCAGGAGCCGGGGCCCCGTGCCGAACCCTTACTCCGAACAGCTGCTCCTGGACTTTCCGGTTCTGAGTTCCTGTTTTACAGTGTTGGGGACGCACCTCCTTAACGTGTGTGGTCTTGTCGATTTCATTTAGCAAGAATGCATATTGCTGTTGCACTAACAATGTGTGCTTTGAAAATGTGCAAGACACAGAGAACAGCGGTCGGCTTTAGTTTTGTGCTCAACTCTGGAGAACACTGGCTGGGCCGCTGATGCCCAGGTCACCACGTCCAGTTAGGACTCTGAGGGACGGAAGGCATTTGGGGAGCCAGGCCCCTGCCCCTTGGACCTCCTGCGACTTGTGGTTTACCGCTGTGCTGGGGGAGGCAGCCTTCTCAGCCACTCACCTCCACGGCAGAAAAGGCAGCCGAGTCTGAGCCAGGAAACCACACAGGATCCAGGGAACCTGCATGTTCCCACGGCAGAGTCCATGGTCACGGCTGTGACTGGACCTTGGGCTTCCTGTGGGATGATCCGTATCCCCTGTGCCGAGAGCCGCGGACTCTGGTGCTCCCGTCCTCTCCTGCTCCAGACTGACCCGCTTGACCTGAGTTGCGTGTGTGTGTGTGCTACCTGTGTCCATAGGTGTGTGTCACGTGTGTCACAGATGGGATTCTGCATGTGGCAAGTGTGTCACAGACGGGATTCAGTGTGTGTCACTTGTGTCACAGATGGGAATCTATGTGTCACAGATGGGATTCTAGGTGTCACAGATGGGATTCTGTGTGTGTCACATATGTCCACAGACAGGATTGCGGACATGTCATGAGTGTGTTTCCGTGGCACATCATGTTGATTGCCCCATGAGCATCGGCTCCTTTGGTGAAGAATCTCTATTACAAGTAAGCCACCACCCCTTACTTGGGCTCTTTTATAATCTCTGACTGTTGCAGATCAGATTTTTAGATTAAAAAGGGAATATTTGAAGGTAGAGAGACGGAGAGAGCGCCCATCTGCTGCTTCACCTCCCAGATGAATGCAGCAGCCAGGGCTGGGTTGGGCTGAAGCCCAGAACTCTCTCCGGTCTCCCCTGTGGGTGACAGGGACCCAAGTACGAGACCCGCCATCTGCTGCCTCCCAGGATGTACATTAGTGGGAGCTGAAATCGGAAACGAGGCTGAGACTTGAACCCCAGGCACTCCAATGGGCATAGGCCTCCCAGGGGGCATCTTGGCTTCTGTGCAAAACACCTGCGCCTGAAGTGGGTTTGATTAGAGCCGCACACATCACCTGAGGAAGCCCCGCCCCGCCCGCCCCGCTGGGGGTGCAGGGCTGGTGGTGAGCCAGGCGAGATGCCGGCTCCCAGGGTTTCAGCAAACGTGGGCTCTGCTGCCGCTCCGTCCAGTGGGGCAGAATCGCCAGGCTCACTGAATTACCTTTCCTTAAACGGTCGCGGAATCTCTTCCCTGTGTCTCCTCCACAGCCCTGGGTGCAAGTGGATGGAGGGTGAGCACCCCTGGCCTGGGCACCACGGTGCTGTGATGGGGTCCTTGGGACCAGGCCTGGCCACAGCCACTGCACGGGCTCCACGGGTGTCCCCTGGGTGGAAGTGGAGTGAGCCAGGCTCCTTTCCTTGGCCCTGGTGTCCTTCCCCCGGGCTGCCTCTCCTTGGTCTGCACTGCAGTGGGCGTTCAGTCCCAAGAGACCTTTGATGTGGGTGCTTTCCGTGAGCCTCTGTGGGCTCCTGGCCGGGAGGACGTGGCGCTGGGGGCGCAGGCGTGCATCACTGGTTCAGGAGAATGCAGGCGGCTGTGGGGCCTTTGTGTGCCTCCAAGGTGGAGGAGACGTTTACATTTTTCCCCTTCCTCCTATAATTAATGCTCTCGAGTTGTTTAAAGAAATACAGTACAATCACCCTTTTGAACAGGGTTATACAGCATGATCTTTGGAAGCTAAAAAACAGCTGGTTCCACTCGAATTCCAAATACATTAAAACAAACTTTGAAGTCAATAATGTGAGTTTCTGTTTTCATAAATTACAGTGATAACATGTAAATTTCTCCATTCTGTGTCTCGAACATAAGCCCTTTTGTGCTTCCTTATCCAGAACTGTGAACCCATTAGAGATACTTTGAAATAAATTGTAAGTAAACTTTAAAGCTGGAGGCAATAAATCCAGTTGCATTTAAGCTAATATAATCATGTGGCCCTGAAAATGAGCATTGCCTAATATTGGCTGCAACAGAAATGTAGCCAAGTTGTGTTTTTTTTTTTCTTTCCTTAAGAAAAAAAAAGGCAACATTAACTGTTTCACAAAAAGTTATTTGTTTCCTGCTGAAGCCCAGGCTGCGGCTTTGGGGGATTAGGGATACATTTCACCTATAGGTTACATGAGCTTTTGTTATTTGTTTTCATACAAAATAAACCGCAGAGCTCTTGCTAATGTACAATGGTGCCGAGTTTTGGTGGGAATATTTCAAAAGTAGTGTGTGTTTTCCCTTGATCATTCCCCGAGCTCCCAGGGACACCATCCAATAGTGGCGGATTCCCTTAGGAAAATATGTTTCATTTATAAACTTCTCCCCCCAACCCCGCCCCGTAATGAAAACAGTTTAGGCTTAGCACAGTGTTCCAGCCCAATGATGGGCCAAACCGCGTGGAAACCGGGCGGGAAGGGTGTCACTGGCAGGCTCCACCCTTAGGGCAATATTGAAGCCTTGGAGTGCTTCCGATTGAGCCCGCAACACATAAAGATACATAAAGTTGCAATGAGCAGAGCCTAATAGCTTTTTTAGACTCCAGAGAGATACAAAAAGACACAAATATAGATAAATGATCAAAAAGGAATAATTGCTCCAACAGCCCTTTCCCTTGCAGTGTTTAACATACATTCCTTTTGCTCCCGGTGCACGTGGTTCTAGAATGTAAAAAGTAATTGCATTTTCCATCCTTCTTCCCTCTTCAATGTGCAAGCACCTCTAGAAGCCTCCTTGTAGAATATTATGTAGGTTTCTCTGCTTCATTTAGCCCCTTTTCTCTTAGGAAAACACATTATGACTTTGTACAAGCCTTGATCGATTTCTTAAGAGGCCTTATCTGATTGCTTTTATATTCTATTGATTTTTCTGAATTAAGTTTTATGGCCCTCAATTATTTTCGTGTATGATTGTTCACATCTACGTATGGTGCGCCATATAATTACACAGTGGCATGATTATGTTCTAGTTGATAATCCCATTTTAATATACGGCACTTTCCCTTTTTATGGAGATTATCTTCCATATGCAGACCGATCTGTTGAATCCCGTGCAACAAAGATAAACCCAAATCACAGAAGCACTTGCTCACTGTAGAGGCCACTATCACGCATTTGTGACATCTTGACAGAAGCGTTTATTGCAAAGTGTTGTGATCATCAGCTTCATTAGGAGAGCGTTTAACAATCATAGGAGATGATTTTTATAAACCTGCTGTTCTGCTGACTGGGGGATACCACTATCACAGCACAATTAAGTTTCAAATGGGTTTTGAACGCTGATGGCTAATATAATTCAGCCCTAGCAGTCGACTGTTGCATTATACAATCATTTATCATTCGAGGGGAAATCCTGACAGAGCTCAAAAGTCGAGCCCGCGACGAAGCTGTCTCCCTCCACGTGGTCTTTGGGAGCCAAGCGAGTCCCCTTCAGGTGGCGTCTGAAGAAGTTAAGACAAAAGCAATCGGCGGAAGAGAAGTTTAATCAATGTATTAAACACGGCGCGTGCTGGAAGATATTTTTCTTATATAGTACATGTCTATCAAAGCTGTCATAAGTGACACTACAAATGTCGGAATGCTTTACGGCCAATAGATGGCTGCTATTGTTCTAGGCATTTGGAACCTTTTATGAATATAAATGGATGGGGAGAGGCATCGCAGGATCTGTTTGCCCTCCTAAAATAATTTATATTCCGCACAGTGCATGGCTGACTGATTTCCTCCCAACATTACAAAGTGCTTGTGTTATTTCATATTGCTGAAATTTGTATTATTATTTTCTACATAAGAGAAGTCTTTTGATCTGCATTTATTAAGGAGAAAGAGAGGCCCAAGCTTAACCCAATCTGACACAAACGCTGCGATATGTTCATTTTCTTCCACTACAAATTCAATACATTCATATTCAGAATCCTTTATCTAATAGTGCTTATTAGATTGTTTTGGCTACAGCTGCGAAGCAATATATCACTGAAAAATAATAGGTATGTCTTTTTCAGACGATGATGTGATTTGCTTTAGCCACGCTAGCATGAAAATCTGTGCCATTTATTAATAAAAGACCATGTTAGATGAACTAACCTGCCTGACAGTGCTGAGAACAAAAGAGCTAATTTCTCTTTTGTTTGTTAGAGCACTTCGGTGCTATCGCAGGGTGACGAAGGGTCAGAGAGCGCCGGAGCTCAGCTCTGCTTCCTGCTTAATGATTTGTTTTACAGCATCTAATAAATTTTCAAACATGCATCAACATATTACTGATAAGGAATCTGGAAATGCAAACACAGACGATTTCCAGTTTAAGACGTGATCAAATTTTTATCATTGAGTCAATAGACCGGTCCTGTTTTAATTTTTAATAAGCAGGGCTCCGAGGTGTGGTGTGCAGAGGCTCTCGCGTGCGGCTCAGGGCCTCTGCAGGTCCTCGCGCCATCAGTCTGCTGCGGAACATTCGCTAGTTAACGGCTGTGCGAGTTCGCCGATCGTTGGCCGGGTACCCAGGGAGCCGTGTGCACGTCGATTGGCGATGCTGGTGCTTCGCAGGAGAGAAGTCAGAGGCCTGATTTCCTTCCTGGTGAGTAGAGAGAAGGCTTATAAAAGAGCCATTTTTCTCGACCTGGGATGTCCCAGGGACGTCCCACAGGCACGTCTGTCCTGGAAGCTCAGGGCACAGGCGGTGGAGCGGAGGCCTCCTGGTGGGGCGAGCCCAGGACCGGGGCCCCAGGTCCCCTCTTTAAGTTATTTTTCCTTCACCGCTACTAATTGAGCGCTTTTCTGATGGGCTGTCTCAGCTGCACGCAAGGCAGGGATTTGGGGAGGGCTGCGCCGGGGAGAGGAGCCCTCCGTTCTCCAGGCCACGCCGTCACGTGGCAGGAAGTGTCGTGCGGTGCTCTGGAAAACTCCACCGTGAAATATGTCATTTCCCAAATCTCAGAAACAGAGACGGGAGGGCTGAGGAAGAAATTCTTTTCTGGATTAGGCTTGGAAACCAGATCCAATGCATCCTTGGCTTTTACGGCCGTGAGTCGCCAAAGCTTTCCAGAGGCCAATGAAAACAAACGGAGACCTCCAGTAAAAGCTGTGTCGAATGGTGTTAATATTAAATACACTCGGGCGCATACCGATAATGAAATACCAAGTCAGGGAAAGAGTTGCTTAAATATATATCCCTTCTATGAGCAACAGCTGTACCGTTTCTTTAAAAAAACAACCTGGATGCAATGCTTGGAGGAGAGACTAAGGTGCCGGATCTCGCTCCCGGGGGATGAGGAGTGGCCAGTGACCTGAGGAGCTCCCACCCCCGCTACGAGCTTGCCTGCGCATGGTACAGGGAACAGGAGCTTCTCTCCTGTCATCAAATATTTGGCTCCCTTCTTCTCACATCCAGGACTGAAGGTGAGTGGATCGAGGCTGTTCCGCCCCCTGCTCCATTCCTGGAGAGGTGATGGCTGAGGACTTTGCCTCGAGGAGTCGGAGCCACAGCTGAAGAGGTCGGCACAGAGCGAGGAGCAGCGAGGTGGGCTCCTCAAGTGTCTTGAGGGCAAGTGAGTTTGTCTTCAACAGTGGATAATTCTTCGACCTGGTCACACGTGGGGTGCCACCTCGACAGGCGGGTCTCATCACCCATTTCCAAGGGTTTGTGGCATTTGGGAGGAGGGCTGGGTTGCAGCCAGGGTGCAGGGCTGCTCAGAACAGCCTGGCAGGGGAGGGCGGTGCTGGGGCCTGGCAGTACTGGCGAGGGCAAGCCCATTGCCTCCCTCCTCTGACGCATTTTACAGCCATTCTGTGCCGAGTCTGCTTGGGCCATGTGGGCCGCAAGATAAGTTAGGGGATTTCTGGCTGTTGGCTGCTTGTTCCGCAAGGCTCCCTGGAGAGTCAAGGAGGCGAACACCCTGGAATCAGCACCTTGAGTCTCCACCATGGTGGAGACACACCTGCCCCGGCCTGCCGCAGCCTGCCTTCTCCTGGAGTCGTTAGCGGGGGAGCAGCCCCTGCGTCCATCCTCTGGGGGCTGGTCTGGGAGCGCAGCAGAGCCCTAGGAGACTCGGGGCCCTGGGGAGGTTCACGTCTCCTGGCTTCCCGCAGAGGCTCGCTGAGGGCCCGTGTGGGAGCCAGGAGCTGTAGTGATCAACAGCTGCAATCAATGGAATGTGTATTTGGCTGTCATTTACGGTGGAGAATGTTCTCTTACTGGGTTGACTCTTTGCAAACACACGTGTTGAGGCTCTGTTGAATTAATCTATGAGTGTGTGTGCGTGGTTTCCTTTTAGAGACATTGTATTGGTAAAACATCAATATTTTTCTATTGTTAAATTACTATAGCTGCCGGCGCCGCGGCTCACTAGGCTAATCCTCCACCTAGCGGCACCGGGCACACCGGGTTCTAATCCCAGTCGGGGCGCCGGATTCTGTCCTGGTTGCCCCTCTTCCAGGCCAGCTCTCTGCTGTGGCCCGGGAAGGCAGTGGAGGATGGCCCAAGTGCTTGGGCCCTGCACCCCCATGGGAGACCAGGAGAGGCGCCTGGCTCCTGCCTTCGGATCGGCATGGTGGGCCGGCCGCAGCATGCCAGCCATGGTGGCCATTGGAGGGTGAACCAACGGCAAAAGGAAGACCTTTCTCTCTGTCTCTCTCTCTCTCACTATCCACTCTACCTGTCAAAAAAAGATTATTATAGCTTATTATAACAATCAGTGTTCATGTCAAGACCACAAATTATTGGGATTTAAAAATACAGCTCTAACATCCTCTTTGAAACTAAGCACTGAATTATAGTCATTTGTCTTGTAAGCCAACCAGCTTCTAAGTGATGGAATTCTTACTTTTTTCATTTAAAAGTGAAAGGATAAATCTTAGGAAGCAAAAATTCACTAGTGTTTTAAACATAGAATAGTGTTTTTTGCAGGGAATGATAAACAGTTAAAACGAAGCATTCCATGTGAACATACTCGAAAGAGGCATAAAACTTAGAGAAATGGGAAAAGGTTGGGGATGATGCCAAATAAATCCTGGCCATCAGCATTTACAGAGCTGCAAAACTTGTGGTTTTAAATAGAATGGGTTAGTAGGAAACATACCTGGGAGAGTATGACAATCTTTCCTAAGTAGTAAATATGCTTCTTTGCTCATTCCACGTGCTGAGTAGCCGTGCTTCCCTGGGTGGGTGCGCCACACTTCCTGTGTTTATGCGACACCTTGAGACCCCCGTCCACACTTGGTCTGTCATAAATAACGCTGCAGTAGACATCTGGGTGTTATTTCTGCACACGGTTACTTCCTGAAGACAAATTCCAACACGGAAAGTAGTTAGCTAAGATACAAGCATTAGCAGGTCTTGGGTGTATTTTCACACGCCTCTCAGGTCATGGAGATTGACATGCCGCCCAAGAGGGGGGGAAGTTGGCGGTCTGTATCCCTGCTCCTCCCCAGCCTTCTTCCGCTTGCTTGGCCTTGGGAGATTCTCAGAACAAGTTACAGTATTGTTACAGTATCGGTGTTTTTATGTCTTCGTGATGGAATCGTTTTGTGAATAGTCCCATCACCTGTATGCTTATCTGGCCTTAGTGTTTATTCCAGCACTTTATACGTTTATTATAGAAAGCTTTGGTGCTATATTTTTATCCACCTTTTCTTATGCTGAAGAACACCTTTCAACACACTTTTCTCTAAGTTTTCTAAGTGAAAAGCTTTCCTTGGCTTGCACATTGAAGAAAGTTTCCCCGTTGATTTTATCCAAATGTTTAAGGCTTGTTTTTAAAAATATCTATATGTGTCCTGGACATAAGTTCTTTATCAAGTACAGAACTTGCAAATATTTTTTCTCAGCCATTGGCTTGGCTTTTAACTTTGCTAATGGCATCTCTAGAGAAGTGCAAGTTTGGGACATTGGTTATACGTCTATTTGCCAGAATTTTGTCTTATTTTCCTTTTGTGTTCCACAAAGTGTGGTAGATTTTGCATTTAGATATATGACCCATTCTGAGCTAATTTTTCATATTGCTTTAAGTCGGAGCCAGCAATTCTCCTCTTTCTCATGTGACTGTTTCCACACCACTGGTTGAAAAGTCTATTCTTTTTTCAATTGAAGTATCTTTTCCCCTTTGTTAAAAGGTGGCCATATATATAAGGGATCTTTAACAACTTCATGGAAAATATATATTATTAAAAACTGTGCATGAATCGCAAATTTCTTGTACCGCTCCATTTCCATGAACTTGTTGAAGTGTGCTTGTGTGTGGGTCTCTGTACTCCTCATTTCTTCCACTGTGCCTGTTCCTGTCCTTGTGTCAACATTTCAATGATATCTTTATTATAGCTTTGTAGACACTGCAGTGCCAGATAGTGTAATTCCTCCTTTTCTTCCTTGTTAAAACTTATTTAGCTATTCTAGCTCTCTTGTATTTTCATATAAAATTCAGAATCAGTTTGTCAATTTGGACAAAAAAAGACATGCTGAGTTTAGATTGATACTGCCTTGATTTATAAATTAAATAGGAGGAAATTAACTTTTAATAACAATGAGACTTCTAATCCATGAACATGGTCTATCTTTCCATTTATCTATGTTTTCTTTATCTCACCAGCAAGGCATAGTTTTCTACAAATAGGTCATGTCCATGTTTGTTTAAAATTTTCCATAAGTATTTATTTCAGATGCTATTATGAATACAATTTTAAGATTTACATTTAAATTTTTAAAAAAAATTTATTTGATAGATAGAGCTAGACAGTGAGAGAGAGAGACAGAGAGAAAGGTCTTCCATCTGCTGGTTCACTCTCCAGATGGCCACAATGGCCGGAGCTGCACCGATCTAGAGCCAGGAGCCTGGAGCTTCCTCTGGGTCTCCCACATGGGTGCAGGGGCCCAGGGACTTGGGCCATCTTCTACTGCTTTCCCAGGCCATAGCAGAGAGCTGGATCGGAAGTGGAGCAGCTGGGTCCCAAACTGGCGCCCATATGGTATGGTATGCCAGCACCGCAGGTGGTGGCTTTACCCGCTACAGCACAGCCCCCCACCCCCGCATTTTGTAAGTTTTCCTATCTACTTGTTTCTATAACATTTTATACTTTCTCCTTTTCACTATGCTCTCTCTCTCTCTCACTCACACTCACACTTTCTTTCTCTTCCCTCCCTCATCAGACTGGCTAGGACTCCAGTGCAAGGCTTACTGTAGGCGGTGAGGACGAACACCTTTGCTGTACTCGCAGTCTTAGAGGGGAAGTAATTACATCTTTCATCATCAGAGGTTACGTGAATAGCAGGGCTTTCATAGGTGTCAGTGCCTTTCTGTTGAACAGATTTTAATTTCATGCTTTTTTTTTCTTGTTCTGGTGTCTGTATAACAGATATTTTCCTACCTTAAAGTCATACAGACGGGGTCAGTGTTGTGGTTCAACAGGTTAAACTACTGCCTGTGCTTTGGAATCCCATATGAACGCTCCAATTCTGATCCAGCTTCCTGCTAACATGCCTGCGAAAGCCGGAGAAGATGAGCCAAGAGCTTGGGTCCCTGTCCCCTGTGTGGGAGACTAGAAAGAACTCCCAGCTCTGGCTCTGCCCCTGTTCTTGGGACCATTTGCAGGAGTGAACCAGCAGATGGAAGATTTCTATCTGTCTCTCCCCCTTTCATAATTCTGCCTTTCAAATAAGTAAATCCTTAAAAATAAGGGGAAAATCCACAAAGACAGTCTTCTATGCTGTCTCCTGGAAGTTTTATTGTTTTACCTTTTGTGTTAAGATCTGGAGATCTGGAAGTGATATTTTCCCCTGTGGTGTGAGGGATGCGATGAGATGCTACTTTTTCCCATATAGATAAACACGTGTAATGTGTTGCATAGCACACTCTTCCTGTTCTGTCTCAGCATTGTCTCTGTCGTAAAGCCAGGGACCACACCTAAGAGTGCCCCTCTACACTCCCAATTCTATTCACTGCCCTGTTTGTCAGTCCACGTGCCAGATCCACCCCACCAGAAGTAAGACTGCTTAAAAAGTCTTGCAGGTGAGAAACCATTGACCGATTTGGTTTTTCTTCTGTAAGATTGTGTTGACTCTCCTTGGCCTTCTGTCATTCCAAACAAATATTAAAATAAGCTTCTTGGTTTCCACACAAGATGAGTTAGGATTTTGATTGAGATAACATCAAATCTCTAGATCAATTCAGGAAAAACTGACAACCTTATAACACCGAACAGCCTAAGTTATAATTCAAACCTTCAAACCTTTTGTTACATTTTTGGTTTAATGTTCTTATTTATATGAATGCCTTTGTAAACTGGAACTCAGTTTTTTTCTAAGAATATTGAAGTGTGTTTGATTTTATTAGTTGAAGCATGTGAAATCGCCAGTTTTCAATTCCACAATGGGGATTTCATGTGATTCGATCTGTGGCATTGGCCTTGCCCAGTCCAGTATTTTTTTTTTTAGAAAGCTTTTATTTAATGAACACAGATTTCATAGGTACAGCTTTAGGAATATAGTGGTTCTTACCCCCATACACGCCCTCCCAGCCCCACTCCCGTCCCACCTCCTACTCCCTCTCCCATTCCATAAAGGGTAGATTCTAACATCAGGAGAAATAAAATAAATATATGTTAAAAATAAAATCTCAGATATTTGTTTTGATATAAAAGATATTTTCAAAAGTATAAAGTAAAGTTTGAAGACAAGTTTTACTGTTAATTCTCACAGTACAGCACATTAAGGACAGAGATCCTACATGGGGAGCAAGTGCACAGTGACTCCTGTTGCTGATTTAACGATCGACACTCTTATTTATGATGTCAGAGATCACCCAGTCCAATATTAATACTAATATTTTGTCTATATATTCTTTTGTATTAATTAAGTGTAAAAATGTGGCATGTGAAATCATACAAGTTGTATCTTTCTAATTCTTTTTGTTTTTCTTCATGGATCATTGCTCTGATAAAGACTTTAGCAAAACATTGAATAGAAGTTGGCACTGTCTTTGTTTATGGTCACCGAGGAAAAGCTGTGTGACTCGGGTATTTTTAGTTACACTCCGGTACTAGCACTGTGTACTGATGGCGGATGTTCCAAGTTTGGTGTTGTGGGCTTTTACAGGTTGCACCTGTGCCCTCCCCACGTGGCCACCCCTCCCCTGCTCCCTCCGTGCTTCCTGGCTCCCGTCACACATCTGCATCTTGGGTTCCAGATCCCGAGTCTTGCAACTGCTTTGGAGCCCTGGTTTACAGCATGGTTCTTGCCATTCTGCATTCCCAGCCACAGTGCAGGGCAGTGTTAGTCACTCCATATGCGAACGCTTCCTCTTTGAGGCTTTCTAACAGTCATGTGGTCCTGTCTCACTGTGATCTGCGTGTGCGTTTCTCATGACTGACACTCTTGAGCATCTCATTCTATGTTTATTTTATAGCTTACAATGTCTTTGGTGAAGCCTTCTCACTTTAGCTTATTTTTTAAATGTTTTATCCTATTTATTTGAAAGGCAAAGTTATATATCTATATCTATATCTGTGTCTGTCTATCTATCTAGAGAGAGAGAGAGAGAGAGAGAGAGAGAATTCCATCTGCTGGTTCACTCCCCAGATGGCCACAATAGCCAGGGCTGGGCCAGACCAAGCCAGGAGCCAGGGGCCAGGAGCTTCTTCTGGGTCTCCCATGTGGGTACAGGGAATCAAGTACTCAGGCCATCTTCTGCTGCTTTCCCAGTTGCATCAGCAGGGAGCTGGATTGGAAGTGGAGCAGCTGGGACTTGAACCAGCACTCATGTGAAGTGCCAGCATTGCAGGTGATGGCTTTTACTCACTATGCCATAACACCACCCCCAAGTTTGGCATTATTTTAAACTGACTTTTTATTTTACTTATTGTTTAATTTTGAGAAGTTTTCAACATATTTTAGACACAAATCCTTAGATAAGTGATTTGCAAGTATGTCTTCTTTCTCAGTGGCTTTTCTCATTGTCTCATGTCTCATGTCTCAATCTAATACTCTTTAATAAATTTTGTTTTTATTTATTTGAAAAGCACAGAGACAAAGATAGAATAGAGATAGAGGGAGGGCAAGAGCAAGAGAGCGAGTGAGCGAGAGATGTCTCCCTTCTGTTGGTTTCCTTCCCAAATGCCCACGATGGCCAGGGCTGGGTCTGGCTGGAGCCAGGAGCCGGGAGCCAGGAGCCATTTCTCCCACGTGGGTGGCAGGAAGCCATTACTTGATCATCACCTGCTGCCCTGAGAGCGCAGGAAGCTCGAATCAGCGTGGAGCTGGAACCTGAACCCAGAGACTCCAGTATGAGATGCAGGTGTCCCAAGTGGTATCTTAGCTGCTGCATCAACGCCCACCCCTCATTCTATTTTTTGAATATGGAAAGACAAAGCATCTAGAATGGCCAAGCCAGTTTTTAAAAGGAAAAAAACCAAGTGGGAGAACTTGATTTCAAGATGTATTGTAATCAAGACAGCTTAGCTTTGACAGGAGAGTAAACACCCGGAACAATAGAACAGTGAGACAATTTAACACTGACATAATATCTGCCAATAACGCTGTTGGGGTTTTGACTGGCATTGCGTTGCTTTATGGGTGAAATCGGGGAGAACTGACAGCTGTGCAGTGGTGAGGCTGTCAGTCTTCGAGCACGCGATATCTTTCCACTGGGTTGTGTCCTCTCTGATGTGTCCGATCAGTATTTTGCAGCATTCAATAGAGAACACGCAGAGATTTTGTTAGATTTAGACCCACGTACTTAATTTTTCTGGTGCTTCTTAAAGTGGCATTTAAGAATTCAATATCCAATTGTCCGTTGCTAGCTACAGAAACGAAGATGATTTTTGTGTGTTGACTCAATGTCCTACAGGCTTGAAACTCGTCCACTATTTCTAACTTTTGTAGATTCTCTGGGATTTTCCATGTGGACAGGCATGTCGCTGCTGACCAGAGGTAATTCATTGCTTTTCACCCAATCTCTGCTCCCTTCTCTGGCCTGCTTGCCCTCCGTCTTCCACAGAGACGTCGACCGGGAGTGGCGAGAGCACGTCCGCTTGTTTCTCCGCTAAGGGACGGCGTCGTGTTTCTGTGTTGGCTGTGGGTCCTTTTATCCTCGATTTAATCTACTGGTCACTGTTTGTTAGTTTAAGGAAGCTCTCTTCTGCTCCCCGTTTGCTGGAGGCGTCTACCAGGAACGTGTGTTGGATTTTCTCCGTGGGATGATCCCATGGCGCGTTGAGCGCATGGGTCGCAGTCTCCACTCTTCTGATGAAGGCCACACCTGAGGTTTGAACCACGTCTCCGGGTCTCAGCAGTGCGACCTTGAATCTCCCGTGCCTCTGCTCTGTCACTGTGGCCCCTGAGGGTCCCTGCCCTCACCCTAGACGTTTAGGGACTCTTCACTAACATCACGAGGGCTTGAGCTCCTTTCCCGTGGATGGAACTTTGGCTCCCAGTGGCAGCAGAGGACAGCCCCCTTGTGCTTCTGCTGTGCCCTCAGCCCAGGTGCCCCCTTGGCTGCTTTTGGGAAGTTTTTGGAGGAAAGAGTGAGCCCATGAGAAGGTGTCCCCCTGCCCAGGGGGTTCACACCAGGCCACCAGGGGGTTCACACCAGGCCACCAGGGGGTTCACACCAGGCCACCAGGAGGTTCACACCAGGCCACCGGTGGCAGGAGGCCACTCTCCAGGCTGTCACCTTGCTCACTCCACCCTTCTGACAGCGAGCGGTCCTGGGGTCCTGGGGTCTCTTCTCTCCCTGCAGGCACCGTGCCTTCCGCTGAGCCGCCGGGATTGCTCTGCTCTGGCCTCTGCTTGCCCCGGGGACCAACAATTGCTCTGGGTTTGAACTTGGTCCCCTTCCTGTTGAAGGGGACAGCAGGCCCCTCCCGGGCGTCCATGTTTCAAGGTAGAGGCTACGAGTCTCTTCACCAAGTGTCTGCTGTTTCTCAGAAATGATGAATGTGTAAAATCCTGTCAAATGCCTCCTGTGCGTCTCTTGAGATGATTGTGTTCTTTGCTCTATTCGTACGGTGGCTGGTATGTGTGTCTGTCACACGTACACAGTGTGCGTGTGCACGCATATTTGTCTGTCTAAAAACGTGGACTGCGTGTGGAGCAATCACAGGCGTAGAGGGGACTGGGTTTTCAGCCAAGGGGGGTGCGTGGCTCTCCTCCCACCTCCGCCCCGTGCTCTCTGAGTATCTCAGGGTTCCTCTCGGCCGCAGGCGCACTCCTCCCCGCAGCCCCCAGAATCGGGACATCGAGCCCGAGTCCTCGCCGCCTCTCCGCCCACGCCGCTGGAGTTTGCAGATGTCAACGGCTTTCAGCGGGAAGGGCCCTGCCAGCATCAGGTGCCGCGTTTCGTTCTCTCCCCCTCCCCCTCCCTCTTTTTTTATGGAAAAATTGAGTAAAAAGTATGAGTTCATTTTGGCGCAAAAGAAAATTGGTGCCTTTAATTTTATTTTCATAATACATGTAAAGTGTGTATTATGGAAAAAGCTGATGCATGACTTTCAAAATTTTTGTGCACCAACATAAATTCATACTTTTAGTTCCATTTTCTGTGAACTTTTAGAAATGCTTATTTATTGGTCAATTGTGTTCATTCAAAAGGCAGAGAGAGAGAGAGAGAGAGCGAGCTCCATTTGCTGTTTCACTCGTGCAGATGTCCAAGCAGCTGATTCTGGACCAGAGCTGGGCATTCAATCTGGGTTCCCACAGGTGTGGCAGGGACCCAGGCCCCTGAACCAGAACCTGCTGCCCTCCAGAGTGTGATGAACAGGAAGCCGGAATCAGGGTAAGAGGTGGAGCTTGACCCCAGACGTTTCCACGTGGGATGCAGGCACCCCAAGCAGCCCTTACTGCTATGCAGATGCCCACCCTGTCCTGAACCTTTTGAAGTACCCTTGTAAGCAACTCATTTGCATCTATGTGAATCTGTCTGTCTATTGCTTATCTGTCTGTCTTCTAATCAATTGCAGACTGGTAGGTCACACTGACGCACCCACTCGCATCCACATCACCTGTCCTCCACTCTCCATCCACGTTTGAAACTCTCTCCTCCAAGCCTGGAGGCCCCGGCTTTGTTTCGCTTGCTATTGTTCTGTAGTTGTTCAGTTCACAGGACAGACTGATCTCTCATTCCCACGTGGGTGCCCTCCATGTCCTGTCTGTGCCCTCCTCTTTCCCTGACCCCCCAACCCCGCTTGCCCCCTACAGCCCCCTCTGCCCTGCCATCCCTGCCTGTACCTGACAGCTGTCGGGCTGAACTGTCCAGGAAGGGGTGGGGGGCGGACGCCAATGCTCATCGAGTTTTTGAATATTACGGAAAACCCAAGCATTGTGCCGGGATCGTGCGCGGTGTTCTTGTGTCCACGCCCCCAGGGACACTGGCCAGCGGTCTGCTCTCTTACGGCACCCGCCTCTGTCAGGTTTCATATCACATGTAGTGTGGTCTCCTAAGATGAATGGGGAAATGGCTCATTTCCTCCCCAGCCTCTCGCAAAAGGTTTTGTAAGATTGGCATCATTTTCCAAAGAAAATATTTGGAAGAATTCACTAATGAAACCGTCTGGGCTTTCTGGATTTTTATGGGGCAAGAGTGGAGAAATTTAAATGACAATGAAATTCCCTTAATTAACTTTGAGTATTTACAGTTCTTTTTTAAAAAAAGATTTATTAATTTGAAAGGCATGGGGGTGGGGGAGGGAGAGGAGAGAGGGAGAGAGAGGGTCCATTTGCTTGTTCACTCCCCAAATGGCTGCAACAACTGGAGCTGTGCTGATCTGAAGCCAGGAGCCAGGAGGCTTCTCTGAGTCTCCCATATGGGTGCAGAGTCCCATGTACTTGGGCCATCTTCCACTGCTTTCCCAGGTGAGTTAGCAGGGAGTGGGATCAGAAGTGGAGCAGCCAGGACTTGAACTGGTGCCCATGTGGGCTGCACTGCCCCACTTATATTTTTCTTTTTCTTTTTTTTTTTTTGACAGGCAGAGTGGACAGTGAGAGACAGAGAGACAGAGAGAAAGGTCTTCCTTTTCTGTTAGTTCACCCCCACAATGGCCGCTGCAGCCGGCGCACCGCGCTGATCCAAAGCCAGGAGCCAGGTGCTTCCTCCTGGTCTCCCATGGGGTGCAGGGCCCAAGCATTTGGACCATCCTCCACTGCACTCCCAGGCCACAGCAGAGAGCTGGACTGGAAGAGGAGCAACTGGGACAGAATCTGGTGCCCTGACCGGGACTAGAACCTGGGGTGCTGGTGCCGGAGGTGGAGGATTAGCCTAGTGAGCCGTGGCACCAGCCTTTCTATCTTCTTTTATCAGTTTTCTAGGTGGAACTTTTGAGGGAATTTTTCTATTTTATCATTTCCATGTTAATATGCATTAAATATGTATAATAACCTCCATTGTCTTTTTAATATCTGTAGGATCTGTGCTAGTATTCCATTTTTATTTCCTTAGTTTGGTAATTCTCTAGAGCATTCTTTTTAAGAGGTTGTGTATTTCCTTAAATTTTAAGAGCCATGTTTCACTTTCTCTCTTGTTTTACTTTTCTCATTTGTTGTACATTTGAAAATGCTTTTCTTAGTTTAGTTGGTTTTATTTACTCTTTTGCTGACTTCGGACGCTGGATGAAGGATGAGCTTTGTGTCCGTGGGCAGCATCGAGGCTGTGAATTCTCCTCCTCTCACGTGTTCGTGGTGCCCACGGTTTCCTGTGCTGTGGTTTTGTTCTTGCATACAAAATATTTTCTAATTTAGACTATAATTATGAGCCATGGGCTACTCAGACCTGCGTTGCTGAATTTCCCAGTGTTCTGGTTTGAGGTCTTTGCTGTGTCCCTGGTTAGCGCCCGGCCGCTGCCCCTGTTCTGTTGGTCCCCGTGGCAGTTCCAGTCACTGTGGTTGTCCGTGTTCCTCTGGGCAGCTTCACGCTTGTCCCCTGCAGCTCCTCCCAAGTCTTGTCAGTTCATGTATTGACTCTTATGCATTTCCCATGAAGCTTTTATTTTAGCACCTCTAAAACACACAACAAATTCAGTTTTTAATTTTTTTTCAGATCTAGCTCCTTTCCCAATCTCTCCTTTTCTTAGTCTGTTGTCTTATCCTGTGTTTGTCTCTAAAGAATCCAAGTGGCTTCTGACAGTTCTCTTCACTTTTCTTGTAGTGTGCGAACACTTAATCAGACAACCACCTCATGGTTTTTTTGTTTGTTTGTTTGCTTGTTTATTTGAAAGGCAGAGTTAGAGAGAGAGAGGGAGGGAGAGATACAGAAAGAGAGAGAGATTGTCCATCCACGCGTTCACTCCCCAGTTGGCTTCAACAGCCAGCATCAGGCCAGGAGGCCACGGTCAGGAGTGAAGAGTCTTTTCTCAGTCTCCCACGCAGGTGCAGGGCCCGGGCACCTGGGCCATCCTCTGCTCCTTTCCCAGGCCATAGCAGAGAGCTGGGCTGGAAGTGGAGCAGCCAGGACGTGAGCTGATGCCCCTGGGGTGTGCTGGGGTCGGTCACAGGCAGCAGCCTACCCACTATGCCCCAGTGCCAGCTCCCAACCTTGTGGTGTTTGATAGGCATTTCCAAAGAGACTACTATAGGCGGGAAAGCTCTGTATAACTGCGAGGTGCTATTTTTAGCAATAATGGCATTTTCCAACAAATAATAAGTCTTGAAAATCAGAATCATGGGAAAGCAGCAAAGACACTAACAGCGGTATAGATTTTGAGACCTATTTGGAATTTGGACAGAGAAGCAGAGGGTTGGAGAGCTCAGGTGCAGTGTTGTGGGTCTGTGTGGGCTTTAGCCGGAGGCGGTGCTGGGGCCTCCTGCAGTGGGGGGCTCTGTGTTGTGCTGCAGGAAGCCTCGCTCCTTCCGTCTGTGCTTCCTGGAAAAGCAGCTGACGAGGCGAGTTAGCAGACGGCAGCTGCGCCCCGTGGCCAGTGGGACTTCCTCGTACCTGAACAACGGGTGCCGTCGTGCTCTGAGAGCCGGCTGGCCTCTCGGCTAGGCAGGCCGTGGAGCCGAGCCATTTACGGCAGAAGTGCGTTTGTCTTGGAGTGGTGAAGAGAGTCCGCATTTTCTGTATTACCCCAGTAATGCCACTGGGAGCCTGAGCCTGCCTCCCCTTCCTGCCCCCACCCCCATTCTCACGTCTCTGTCTTTATTTATTTATTTGTAAAGAGCTGTTTATTTGAAAGAGTGAGGGAGGGAGAGGGAGTGACAGAGAGACAGATCTTCCATCTGCTGGTTCACTCCCCAGACGGCCACACCCACTGGGGCTGGGCCAGGCTGAAGCCAGGAGCCAGGAGCTTCTTTGGGTCTCCCATATGGGTGTCAGGGGCCCAAGCACTTGGGCCACTTTGGCTGTTTTCTAGGTGCATTAGCAGGGAGCTGGGTCAGAAGTGGAGCAGCTGGGACTTGAACTGGCGCCACTGCAGGCAGTGGCTTTACTTGCTATGCCATGGTGCCAGTGCTTCTCTGTCTTCTTGATGTCAGTGAGTGACCTGTGCGTGTTGGGAAGCTGCTGCAGTTTCCGGAATCCTCAGCTTCCAGGAGGAATCAGCTGGGAGAGGCCTGTTCCAGCAAGGCTCTTGGTCTTCTTATCCCAAAGCAAACCCTGCCCCAGAGCCCTCCTCCCGGCCCCAGCCGCAGACTTGCTGTTGGCATGCTAGCTGTCCGTCAGCGCGCTGCCCCCTGGTGGTGTGCTGCTGCTTCCACTGCCTGCTGGGTCACGCCCTCGCTCAGGTCTCCTTTACCACGTCACCTAGTAGAGAGAAGACCTGGCTCTTAACACGCCCGCTTTCCTGGGAAGCCGTGTGATGCTACGCAGGTGTCCGGGGGCGGGTTCTCCTCCAGGTGTCCGGGGCTCCCTCAGAATTGAACACCGTGTCCCCAGGACGGCTCCTATGCGGCAGAGCTGGCCAGACCCCAGCCGGAGTGCCCTTAGCTGTCGCTGAGTCCTGAGAAGTGAGAACTGGGCTCTGCTGCCCCCCGCCCCTGAGGGACGGCGCCCGGGGACTTGAGCAGGCATCACTGGACTTTGGGGTCTCTTGATTTTAGCTGGCCAGAAGCTGAGTGAGCCCCTTTTCCCTTTGTCTTTCTCCCGCTTCAGTCTGTTTTACAGAACTCCCATTTCTGTTCCCGCTGCATTTTTTTCTTTAGGAATGATACGGCAGCCACGGTGCTAGATGGTGGGAATGCGTACAGCCTTCTCGTGACAGGTGCATCTGTCTGTCTGTCCTTTCCGTAGCTCTGCAGTCTGTTTCTTTTGTATTTTGTCAATTACCTGCTATTTAAATTAAATCCCAGCCAGGAGCAGGGTCCTGTGCTGCCTGGGGCACTGGCCTGTCTCTGTCCCCTTCTGAGAGGGGGGGCCGAGATCTGCTTGCTCCCCAGTCTGCTCCCCCAGGGGGCTCCGTCAGGACGTCCCGGGCCTCAGGGTCTGAGCAGCCTGGGCACTGTCCAGCCTGGGCACTGTCCCTGCTCCTTCCGCGTGTTCGTTCCCTGGCTCCTCGGGGTGGGGACGCTGGGAAGGACCTGGAGCAGCCGGGCAGCCCTGACCCAGGGACATCATGGAGGCAGAAGCGCAGATGCTTAGGCTGTGCGTTTCGAGGGCGGGGAATGGCCAGAGTTTGGGTACAGGGGGTCTGCGCATCTTGCTTCAGAAAGCGTCTATCAGATCTGGAGTATCATCACACAGAAGGTTCTGGAGAACCAGCCGCTGCTGGGGGTGTGGCCTTCCGAGGAGGGGGCAATACTTGGGTTCCCAACTGTCCACTTGGCAGAGCTGCTGAGCGGTGGCCACTG